CCTTCATGAACCTAATCGGCGAACTCCACCAGGTGGTGAAGGTTGACCTCACCGGCCGCGGCGAGGACGAGGCAGATTGGCTGATAAAGACGTTGGAGTAAGAGCTCACAAAGCAGCGTTCAGTGGGCTGGGACGTCGTCCTCCCCAAGAAGCTATCGCATTCGGCTCAATAACTGAGAGGGGCGCCTATCAACAAGGTCCCTCTCTGCAAGGAGCTGCCGAAGACGGGCGCGTTTCGACGGCATAATCGCTCCAACATTTTGGTCTTGAGGTGCTGATATGGTGTAATGTCGGAGGGGTTGGAGAGCACGTCGGAAGGCTCACTGGCAACATCAGGAAGACGGACTGTGCCTCGACCTGGTCGAACCAAGTTTGCGGATTCTGGGGCCAGAAAGATGGGAGACGCAGTTGAACCACCGCGACATCCTGCAGACGTGAGGCTTGTTCAGTTGAGGGCGCGTTCGGATCACTCATTCTCGTCGTCCTAGGTCACCACTTGTAGGCTGACGCCGCAGGGGCGAAGGAAAGAGACGCCTGAATGACAATAACGCCAACAAGGTAAACAAGCCTTCGCCTCACGTGCCACACTGCCAAGCGCCATCCTTATTTTTCTCCGTTTGTAGGCATGCACTCGCCGCTTTGCGCGCCGGCCAAACGAGGGCGCTACAAGCCCATAGCACATGCGCACCTCCTCCTCTCCTAGCTACCCCTCTCTGAATTTCTGACAATTTAGAGTACCAGCCACTCGGCTATGGGAACGTGGTAAGCTGTCCCGATTAACAAAGAAGAACAGGAGTAGAGGAGTTGTTGTTGTTGAGAAAAAGTGTGTAATGATTTAGAGCACAAGGTACTCTACTATGGAATAGCATAAAGCCGTCCCGTGATTCTTGATCGAGAAAAAATAGCCACAGCTTTGCCGCAAAGGCTAAGCAATGAACGCGATAGCAACGAATTGGAAGGTCACGCACAGAATGGCAAGCAGATCGAAACGTGCCTCGCATTTCTCACGCACAAAGAACGCACGTTAATCTGTACTGACATGTACAGATTAACGCAAATAAGTGTCCGAGTTGTGTCTGAAAAGGGCGCCCTTTTCGCAAACGGAGGCTGTGCAACGATTGCAGTGACCTTTGTGCACCCTGTAACTACAACAGTATCGTTCCGACAAAACTCAAAGGCTAGCCAATGCGTACGATTCTCCCCACTGCAAGATAAGGGCGCGCTATTAAGCGTACATCCCCTTATTTTCTACGCAGACCTAAGTACGCGTGAGAGATGAGAGCCGCCGCGCGCACACTGCGCCATCTTGCTAATAATGCTGAAATCACGACAGTTCCCCCTCCCCTGGATGCCCGCCAACAGCGTTAAGTGGTAGATACGAGTAGCTTGCTGTTTGAACGTTGATGGAGGTACCTCTCGGTGGCTCGGTGGTTAACGCCTTGCATTTGCGACGCCGATGTCTTACATTCGATTCCGCGCACCACAGTCTTTTTTTTTTCTGGGATTTTTTTTCTGTCTTGCGGGTTCATTTATATACTTACGTTCACATACACGGTGCATGACATGGACGTCGACGCCGGCGGCGAAATCCAGCCGAGAGTGTCCATATGATTGCTATCGCAATAAAAACGACTGCTCGCGTTGCAAAACTGGTCACTGGCCACCTCATGTCTATCATCATCATCATCATCAGCCTGACTACGTCCACTGCAGGAAAAAGGCCTCTCCCATGTTCCGCCAGTTAACCCGGTCCTGTGCTTGCTGCTGCCAATTTATACCCGCAAACTTCTTAATCTCATCTGTCCACCTAACTTTCTGTCTCCCCCTAACCCGCTTCCCTTCTCTGGGAATCCAGTCAGTTACCCTTAATGACCAGCGGTTATCCTGTCTACGCGCTACATGCCCTGCCTCATGTCTATAGGCACTGGATAATGACCTCCATGGTAGTGGCGGTGGGGGATTTCCCGTGTGCGTTGTTGAACGATGAAAAATCGCAGCGTGCACGTGCGTTAACTGAAACAACACTGCGTGTCTCTTTGTCCAATCGGCGTCTTCTGTCTCTGATTGCTCATTATCAGCGATTGACATATTGCAGTAGGAAACACCCGTTAATTACTGCGCGCTTTGCGCCAGCTTTCTCTCCTGCCCAACGCCAGGATAAACGCCAGCGTCAACGTCGCCGCAATTGTATAAGCGCTGGCGCCCACTTCTTCGCATCTACACGTGGTTGCCTTTAGCGGGGGATGTTGTAATTTCTTGGGGCGAAGCTACTCAAGGCGTAGGCTTGTATGTCATAGTTGTGTTCACTAGATGGCGTTCGCATCTGTCGCCTCTTTCGAGACGTTTCGATAGACAAACAGAAGGACGGACGAATGGACGGTATACCTCCGGAGCTTCGTCCACTCATCATCATTCACTCCGGGCACATGCTGTTATTTTTTTTTGTCTCCCTTTATCTTCACGCAGCCGAATACGACGGGATCTGGACATCCCTGCTTGCAATGCTTTACATAATCTAAGAAGCTGACCATACGAACACACCTGCCGCCAGGCGAGACAGCAAAAACGAGAAACAAATTGCGGTAAGCTGCTGGATTGAGATTTGGAATTGAAAATAAAGGGAGAAAAATATGCCGGAGAGCTTATAGGCTTATACGTCGAAGGGCTTTCCAATTTCGTTTCGTAAGAGTACTTTGCATAACGCTTTGCTTCGTCTCTTTATCTACACACGCAATGGCATGAGCACAGAACGAAATGAATGTACCGGGAGGAGCTTGGGATCACGTTGTAGAGCGGAGGACTTTGCTCGCGTTGCACTCTACACAGCGGAAAAGTGAGAAAAAAATTTCACCTACCGCAACCCCCCCCCCCCCCTCCTCCCGCCTCAAATTTTACAGTTTGTGGTCTGCTTATTTTGTATACACGCGCACATATAACGCAAAAATAAAAAATATCTTTTTTTTGTATTTTCGCTTGCCCTGTCCCCTGAACAACCGCATACCTACCATGCAAATGTTCAAGTACATTATATTGTATAATAAACAAAAAAATTCATTATTTTGACATAATACGTCCAACAATAATCCACATTCAGCTCTTCGAGAACAATGAGCGATTTAATAAAACATGAAGCTAATAATAACGACATTAACAAAATGGACGCGCTGAAATATGCGCCGGACACAACTTTAAATGTCGTCCCAATCGTTGAACAATTGAAATCGCTCTTAATACATTACTTCATTGTATTATATGGAAAACAATGTCTGAATATACCTCCATGCGCGTCCCTTTCTTTCGTGCTCTTTTGAAAGATGACGAGGCTGCGCAAATATTACACGCATAATATATTAGGCCGCGCCTGTAGTGCAGGCAACCGACATATCATCCCCCCCAAAAAAAAAACAAGTTGCCGGCAGTTTTCTCTTATTGGCTGCCCATGACCATGTGACTTATCTGCCGGCACATTACTGGTGAGCCTGTCTGTCTGGCGTTTGCTGTATATTTAGCTTTAAGCCGTCATTTAGCCATTTTCGCTCTCCGACAGTTCGCAACACTGATCAATATTGCCAAGGATAGTCAAGGACCTGAGCATCCCAAACTTAACCTAACCTAACGTAACATAACCTGACCTAACGCGCTCCACAGGCATTTTCCAGGCAGTTTGCGGCTAGCTCGCAGTGTCGTTTATTTCAAGTGTGCTTCATGCCGTGAGACGAGCATCTCTGAGGTGAACAATATTACGCCTACGTCGTGGTATTCCTCTAGCCTGGGCAGCGCACTTCGCAGTGCGGCAGCACCAGACCATCCTCGGCACACTCCCCTGAGAACGACACTTGAAACCCTCCTATAGGATAGAACTGCCGGTACCCGGTCGGTCGATATACTCTACCGGCTACCGGCAACATAGGCACTACCAATATTTATTGCATTGTAATACGATTCCTTTCTCAATCGACATTTATCAGAAATCGAAAGCCGTATTCACTTGTTTTGAAGCATAAAGCGGAGCAGCCCAGCCAAATCGTAAACACAACGCTGAGTCAAAACAAAAGTAGGTAGTAACGGGAAGGGTTTTACGACAGAACAAAACAGGTGTTCTAATACCATGGTAAGCAGCTTTACTTTTTAAAACCCGGAAATATGTGTACCTCAACACATGAAAAATCATCGACATCTTACAGGTTGCATGCGGCATTGCTTTGTGCCATAAACTAACAAGTTTAGAGTTTTTTATTTATTTAATAAGTAATGAAAACAAACAAACAGCGAGCGGCTCCAATCTCTCACATTTGCGTATCGGGGCGTTCCAGGTGTTTGTCGGGAAACCTTACGTGCTCACGGATCGAACACTTTTCCTTCTTTCTGTCACCCTTTCTCTCTTTACAGAGAACGAGAGTGAGTATCACGAAAGGGCGGGGATTAAAGAAGAAGAACGGAAAAGTGACACAGTTTTTCTTTGACGCGCGCCAGCTCAAGCACACTCGCCGCTCAGCTTACTACGAAAGCGTTTTACGCTCGATCGGCAGATGGCGCCACCAGGCTCGGTCGGCTCCCTAAGGCGAGCACCTAGGCTTCAAAACAAAACAAAATTAATAATAACGCAGGCGCTCTGAAACTGCTGCTCCGCGCATTTCTTCGTTTCTTGGAAGCAAAACGATTTCCAACAAACCTGTGCTTCGCAGCTTGCAAATAATAACGAACTAAAGCTAAGCTTTTCTAGCAAGTAAGGAGAAACACGGCAAAAACAGCGACGTGTAAGTATCGATCCGCACTACACGGCCAGCGCCTTCTCTCTTTTTTTTTTCTTGTTTTGAGAGAAAGGAGGAAAAGGTCACGTGCTCTAGTGGCGGAAGCACGATTGGACGGCGCCGGAAGCAGCAGACGAAAAATAATAATCGTACCCTGGCAGACGACGCAGCAAATTAAGATGGCCGCCGCCGCCGCCGCCAGAGCTGCCGCAGACGCCGCAGCTGCTGCTTTAGCAGAGACGATAGCAGTTCGCCCCGGTATCAACATGGACTGGATCCTTCGCTCGCTTCGCGTCAGCTGCTCGCTGCTACCGCGCTGCCTTCTAACCCGATAACAAACTGTAAGCTAGAGGCGTGCGACGAAGGATAGTAGTGTGTTGTTTGTGCGTGTGCGCGCGTTTTAGGATGTCTTAAAATCAGAAAACGAAACAACAAGAACGAAAAGTCGAGCAAAATGGCACGTCGTCGCAACAGCGAGATACTGTGGTCGTTGATGACGCGCATCAAGTCGCCGCACAGTTTTCAGGTGCGCAGGTTTTCTTCATCCTCCGGAGCCGAGACTGCCAACGGTTCGGCCGGAGGCAAGTCCAAGAGCTCGTCCAAGAAGTCGTCGAACGAAAAGCCGTCCTCGTCGACGTCCAGGACTCCGTCCCGGGCTCGACTGTGCCTGATAGTGTCGGCGATCGCGCCCGGTTTGACGTTCGGTGTGTTCGTCGTGGTTGGCAACGCGGCGGCTGTCGTGTCCGCTGGTGCCGTGGTGCCATCGCTGCTTGTAGCCGCCGTGGCATCCTTGTTGGCCGGTAAGCTCGTGCTTCTTACTTTTGCCATTCTTGTTTTCCTGAGAGTTCAGTTACTGCGCCCTGTCTGGCAAGATCAACAGCCTCGTTGGCAACATCAACAGTATGTTGCGTCAACAGCCTTGTTTCCAAACTTGGGAAACAAAAGGGCACTTGCATTGTCGAAATCGTAGGAGATAATGCTGCTGAGCTCGTAGTCGGACACAAGTTACGCTCAACGCCATACGCTGTAGAGCTTCCATGAAAAGCGACAAGGGCTTTACGAAGAGTGGCCCAACTAAGCCCTTGCAAACTTACGCGCAAGGATGACAAGGTGGCTTTGACAATACAACGGAATCCACCTATCCAAAGCTTGGACAGCTTGTTTGAGGCCCCACTGTTGATACAATCCCCAAAGAGCGTTGCGTTGCAGTCCGTCAGCTCTATTCTTTGCTTTGGATTTAAAACCTACGTTTCGCTTTACAATATTTACAAGTTTTCGTTTACAAGCTTTACGTTTCGAAACAAAAAAAAATCGTCTCGCCAGATCTGTCTTCAACTGAGCTACGTGACCGTCTTTGACTGCTGCCTCCATGGAGCTTTCGTGCTCAAGTTAACCGAACCTTTCTTACCTCTCCCACATTTTGTTTTGTTTTGTTTCCTTTTCTTTTTCCTGCAGCAAACCGCACGCTTTTTTTACTTCACCACCCCACTTTCAGACTTTCTGCTAGTATTCCTTATACGACATAAGGGATCACGATTACTGCCGGATTCCTCGCGAATGCTGTGACGTGTTCCTTTCTCGGTGAGAGTTTGCAAGCTCGCGCTCAACGTTGCATATGAGAAACTCCTGCGCAGCTGTGTGTATAATATAATGAGCCCATCAATCGTCTGACATGTGTAATACCAGTAACGTTAGGCGGAAGACGGTGAAGAGAAAAAAAAAAAGAAAAGCGTCGTCGGCTTCTCCTGCATTGTTTCGCTTTCCAGTTGTATATCATGCATACTTTATGTGCCACACTACCACGAGACGTGCTCTTATCATTATCACTGTTTGCGATGCTTGCGCATCGTATAGTGCTAGGCCCGTTCTATGAGGCACTGATCCGTCGTCAATTCGTCAGCAAACTTAGTGGAGTGATAGCCCTGTATACGACGTTTGCAGAAGTAAACGTGTCGTCTGCTATAGCATGTATTCACGTTATTGTATTGTTACGGGATTTTCGTTGAAGTGGGGTTGAGGAAGAAGAAGTGAATGTGTTCTGTGCCAGGCCTGACTGCTGCAACAATCTATCATCCCGCCTGTACAATAAACATCTCTCACCCTTAACAGTATGCAGATTCAGCCGATACATTAACGAACTTTTCGTGACATTAGCAGAGGAAGACAACGCGCCGTTTGCTAACGCATTTGTACATGAGCGTCAATTATGATCCATCTAATCTTTAACGAGCCCCCATATTTTCGTTATGAGAGGATGACGTGTCGTCTGCTATGCGTGTTTGCTTTGGTGCATACATGTTCACTCAAACCAAGCCCTGTGGCACGCGTGTCCGACGCGAATTCCAAGTTAAGAACATTTATATGCGCCTTGAATTCCTGGTCAAAACACACGGACGTGGGCATCAAAAAGACTTAGCGAATTAAAATGTAACAAGCGAGTGCCGAACTGGAACGATAGTCACCGTCACGTCGATGGTTATTGCGCTGCGACAGCAACGACAATAGAACTAACTTTGTACGTCAAACACAGAGTAATGCTTGGTGCTTCTCTACAAATTTGCAACTTTAGTCCAACAAAGCCCTGACTCGGATATTTTGTGCGAAGGCATTTTTTTTTTTCGCGCGTATACGGTGAACTCTGCTTTCCTTCCAGCTTTTTTTTTTTCCCCTTTTCCCCTCCCCTTAACGCAAGGTGGCAAACTGGATGCTACAAGCTCGGTTGACCTCCTGTGCTTTTTTCTCATCTTATGATCTCTTTCTCCCTCTACAACTTTAGTACTGCTATAATTACCCGCCGCCCACGAATTGCACGAGGCGTTAGCAATACACTCACCTGATACGTCGCTTCTTGTCCGTCATCTGATTCCTGGTATGCACTGACGGATTGCTCGAAAGGTGCAGCTTTGCATTTTAGCCCCCTGACGTCATCGTGCGCCTTACGTTCCTGTTTAGCGATGGTGAACAAAAGTAGAATGTTATTAATATACATAATGGGCCTAACACTTTTATTATTTTCGTGAGAGACCGTTGACAAAGAGAATAAACCTCAGTGCTGGCGAGTCACCGCAACCACAAAGTTCAGTTTAGCCTTTGTAACAGCTGCCGTAGACTAGTTTGTTCAACAAGAGGCGGCTGTTTTACCTTGGTTTTTTTTTTTTTTCTGTTGGGCGTCCGCAGCAGTTATACGGACGCAGGTGCCCAATGGAAGTGGCTGACTGTCAAACAAAGCTGTCTTTAAACAGCAATGGTCAAACAATATACCGCAAAGAGTGCGCAAATGCGAACTTTAGCGAAGTAGGTGGCGTGTAGCAGCGCAGAGGGGCATGGCCACGTTAGCCGCACAGTTAGAGCGTGTCCTGTAAAAGACGCTCATTGCTTCGGAAGTTACCTAACTATATACCTTAACTCTTGCCGCTGCGCCGAAGGGCACGGAATGTGTGCTACGCTTAGTGGATTGAATTCACTTTAGAATACGTTCAATAAGACAACCTAAAATGCACAAGAAGCCGCTGCCCATAGAGCTGCACTGCATCTTACTATACCCAAACAAAAAGGTTTACATGACGTGAAGCCTTAGATTTCATCGCTACAACGCACAAAAGCTACATACATACATGTAACCTTTTTGCCAGGTCTACAGCAGCTCGTGATTTCGTCACACCTTCATAGCATATGTATAACGTGGTGAACCGCGCGCCCGGACACAATCGCTGGCACATCATGAATATTGAGAGCGTTCTCTATGTGATTAACTGCGTGGCCTCCTCGCTGATAAGGCTAACTTCGGTTCTACAGACCGCGCTCTCCGCAATTGAGACAAGAACGCATTGAAGTTGTTCCCCATGTAGGAGTGGTCATGGCTCCTCGTTGAAGGGGATGGTGGGCGAAGACTCGTCGCAGCCCCCTACCCCCCCCCCCTCACACCTTTCTTGGTCTTGATCCAAGAGGTAACTTGTCCAACGGACAACTCCGTTCGCAACGGACGATTAACGTAAATAAAACGATGTTCTTGCTTCACACGATTGAGCTGCCTTTGGTCTCTCTGGCTTCCCGGGAATATTAAGAAGACGGGCAGTAGATCGTTATTGGAACGTCACAACGGAGGTCTTCGATCACCATTATCGTCGAAAACCTCCTCCGTTGCCATATTCTTAATCTATAAGCAATGACAACAGAGATTAAAGTGATTAAATGTATGGGGCAGACTTTGCGCCTTTCCTCACTATTGTACTGAGGGGGGGGGGGGGGGGGGGCGTTGCGCAAGCCTTCGTGTACCCATGCAGTCAAACACGAATCAACAAAAAAAAGCCTCACTGACAAACTGCAGTTAGACGTTCAATGGCAAAAGACAACTGCTCTAGACGTCGATTCGACTCGCTACATAACAAAGAACAATGAATCAAAAAGATGCGACAACGTTATTGAATTCTGGCACGCAAAGTGAGCGCGTTCCGAGCGAACGTATACTGACGGAAATAAACGAAGGATTACAAAGACAACGGGACTTAATGCAAGCGGATTTGAGTTGACACGTTGGTGACGTTTTGCGACGACCGTGACACCTTTCGTGAAATATGTCATCCGTGCTGTCGCGGCCAAACGTGTGAGCTATGTATGGCCAAAGTAAAACTACTCCGTACGAGAGAGGCCCAGGACGCGCGGACACAGCTGGTCATTATAAAGCCTCCTCGCAAGTGATATATAAGATACCTGGGTTGTGTAGAAAAGTATTGGACTACCTAGCGTATTGGACTACCTACAAAAATTGTTCTGTGGATTCAGGCTTATCTTCAAGATAGACGTCAGCATGTAGTGATTGGTAATTCTTCATCGACTGTTCTTCGTGTGTCCTCTGGAGTCCCACAGGGAAGTGTGCTAGGGCCACTTTTGTTTTTAATTTATGTTAATGATTTAGCTTCTCTTATTCCTGAAAATGTGTCTGTGCGTTTGTTTGCGGATGATTGCGTCATTTTTAAGCAAATTTCCTCACCGTGTGATCATGTGGCTTTACAAGATGCACTTATCGCTATCGATAACTGGTGTCAGAACGGGGGCATGCAGTTAAACACTAACAAAACTGTGCTTCTGCGCATCACCAGGAAGCTAAGCCCTAGTCAATTCCACTATACTCTAAGAGGCACTAACATAAATAATGTAGACAAATATAAGTACTTGGGCGTCTCACTCTCAAGCAAATTAACTTGGTCGACCCACATAACTGACATTACCACTTCTGCATTACGTAAGCTATGGTTTCTAAAAAGAAAACTAGCATCTGCACCCTCGCGTACTAAAATTCTAGCCTATAATGCCTGTGTTCGTTCTAAGCTTGAGTATGCTTCTATTATCTGGGATCCGCATACCAAGAAAGATATTATGAATCTGGAACGTATTAACAGAAAGGCTGTAAGGTTTATTTTTGGCAAATATCGTAGGTTTGATTCCCCGACCACCTTAATGCAATTAAACGACATTTCTACTTTAGAAGCTCGGAGAAAGTTCAGTCGTCTTTCCTTTCTTTACAATTGTTTGTGTGGTATTGTAAAATTGATCTCCCTGACTGTGTTAAACCGCTCTCAGTACGACGTACTCGTCATGGTCATGAACATGCTCTAACCCCAATTTTTGCCCGATCAAATGCTTTTAAATATAGTTTTTTTCCTAGAACTGTCGATGACTGGAATTGTTTGCCGTGTGACATCTTTCATTCTAATAAGTTTCTTGGTGACCTTGAGCGTCACCTTCTTTCTTAACCTTTTGTTTCTTTTGTATTGTTGTCTGTTGTTTTCTACTATTACGT